CACCTACTGGCTACAAAAAGACACGACCAATACTCACTCATCTCAATGCACGTGGACAAGGAGAACCACGACTTCGACTGGGACAACACCAAGATCCTGGGACAGGCTAGGCAGAGACGAGCACGAGAATTCCTGGAAGGATGGCACTTCACGAAGCATGCTATTAATAAACACATTGAACTCGACCCCATATACAATCCACTACGGAGGAAACCCGGAAGTGAGGCAATCCATCGCAACAGACCCCAGAGTTTAAAAACCAGGCGGGAAAACACAATGATGCTTCATCAGAGGCTGCACTGAGGATGTTACCCAGCATGGTAATGAAACGTCTGCGGAACAACAAACCAGCTCGGCAAGCCAACCAACCTCAACACCCACAACCCGAGCTACAGATCTACTCCAAAACCTTAGAACCCTCTGATATGTTTTAATGAGGTGTGTGTGCTTGATGGGCTCCACCTCTGCCGCCATAACTCTTAAATTCTCTGAGATATTTCTCATACCCTGTTCTGTGTGTCTGTCTTCTCAGCTGCTGCCTGTGGGTACCAAGGTGTTACGAATGATGCCAAACCTCCCGTGTGTGGTGCAGGAGGGCTCGATGGTATTTTGTCGCGGGAGCTGTGCCAGGGAGCAGGATGGTGCTGTCCTGAAGGGCCTCGTATCTTCCTGTGGATTGTGTGAAGAAACTCCGGAATCCTACATAGACATCCACACAGGGCTCAGTGGGAGTGGAGTGGCATATGTAGGTATTGTAGGAAGCAAAGGATTGCAATGTGTTAATATGGTGCTTGACGGACTTTAGTGAAGCACAGCATTGCCTGGTCAGTGTCTGTAAAGATAAGGCCAGCCTTTCGTTCCTTTCATGAAGGTATTGACCTCCACGCTGGGCTGTTAGATGCTCTCTAGCATTAGAAATAAGTGTCAGTAATTCAACTTCATGGAACATCATAGCAATACCAAATGTTTTTTCCAAAATTTTTATTAGCTGTATCATGGTCAAGAACTAGAACTACAGAATGATACAGCACAGAAAGAGGCTATTCAGCCAATCATGACTGCCACTTCTTTGGTAGAACTCACCTCCCTGCCCTGATACAGGAACTCTGTTTCAGCAAAGAGCAACAAAGTTCTCTCGGGTACTTGGCTGTTATTTAATCTTTGACCAATGTCCTCGAAAACCTGATTTATCTAGTTGTTTTCACATTATGTTTGTAGGATCTTGCTGAGTGCAAATTGGTAGCTGTGTTCCCTGCATTACAGCAACTTCTTCAGAACTACTTCCTTGGTTGTCAAGAGTATTTGGAAGATAAAATTTGTGAACCATACTATGTAAATGCAAGCTCTTCTTTCTCATTCCATAGGTTTACCTATTTGCTGCAGCTCTGACAGAAGGGGGTGTTAAGATGGGAATGCCGTATGAATTGTCAAAGAAGATGGTAGCTCAGACACTACTGGTAGGTGACACATTAGACACTTTTGAATTAAAGATGTCTTCTTTTTCTAATAAAATAATGATGAATAATATACATGTGATGAAAGCATCACTGGCAAGACAAAAGCTTATTGTCCATCCCTAATTGCCTGAGAGAAGGTGATGGGGTATCATCTTGTTGAACCTCTATAGTCCTTGGTGGTGTAGGGATATCTATAGTGTTGTTGAAAGTAGGTTCCAAGGTTTTAAATAAACAACAATGAAGCAATGGCAATATATTTCCAAATCAAGATGGTGAGTGGCTTGAAAGGGAACTTTTTAGGTGGTGGTGTTCCTGTGGAACTGATGCTTATGTCCTACTAAGAAGGAGAAATTACAGGTTTGTACAGTGCTGTTGAAAGAGCCTTGGCGAGTTATTGCACTGCATCTTGTAGAAAATATTGCTACATCTCTTTTGGTAGTGAAGTGAGTGAATATTGAATTACTAATGTCCTTTAGGGAAGGAAACTGCCATCCTTTTCTTGTCTGGATTACATGCGACCCCAAATCCACAGCAATGCAGTTGACTCTTAACTGTCCTCTGGCCTAGTCAGAGAGCCAGTGATACCCTCATGAGTGAATGCCAAATGTGGTACGAATCAAATGGCTGTTTTGTCCTATATGGTGTCAAGCTTCTCAAGTGTTGACATTGCACCCATTCGAGTGACTGGAGACAATTTCATCACACTCCTGACTTGTGCCTTGTAGATGGTGGACAGACTTTGGGAAGACATCCCAATGACATGAGTTACCAGCAGATGAATTACTTGCTGCAGAATTCCTAGCTTCTGACTTGCTGTTTTAGCCACGGTATTTATATGGCTGGCCCAATTCAGTTTCTGGTCTATGGCAGCCCACAGGATGTTGATAATGCGGAATTCAGTGATAGTAATGCCATTGAATATCAGGGACAAGTGATTAGGGATTCTCCTGTTGGTGATAGTCATTACCTGTTACCTGTGTGGCATCAATGTTACTTGCCAGTTATCAGCTGTTATGATTCTAGCTGATGTTACTACTGGACAAATCCGATCTGAGGCTGAAAGCTGGTTTGATAGATCATGTTTTGATTTGCTTTTAATGTAGTAGTCAAATGCTGCCTTGGTGTCAGGACCAGTCACTCATATCTCACTTCTGGAGTTTAACTCTTGTCTATTTGGATTAAGATGGGGTAATGAAATTAGCAGCTAAGTGGCCCTGATGTAAGGCTAACTGGGTGTCAGTGAGGAAGTTATTCTTCCCAAGTACTGCTTGATAGCACAGTCAACAGTCCCTTCCATTACTTTATTGACGATTGAGAGTAGATTGTTAGTGCAGTAGTTGTCTAAGTTGGATTTGTTCTTATTTTTGTGGACAGGGTGTACCTGAACAATTTTTCACATTTGATGAGTAGATGCCAGTTATAGCTTTACTAGAAATGTAGAATATAGGCACAGGAGTAAGCTAGTTGGCCCTTCAAGCAAGCTCCACTTTTTCAATATGCTTGTGGTTGATCACCCTAGTCAGTAAGCTGTTCCTGCTTTCTCCCTATATCCTCTGATACCTTTAGTCCGAAAAAGTGTATCTACATCTTTCTTAAAAGTCTTTTAATGTTTTGGCATCTATGGCAAAGAATTCCAGAGGCTCACCACTCTGAGTGAAGAAATTTCTCCGTATGCCTGTCCTAAAAGGCCGACACTGCATCCTTAAACTGTGATAACTGTGATCCCTGGTTCTGGACTCCCTGGTCATTGAGAACATGCTTCCTGCATCTACCCTGTCTAATCTTCTAAACTTTAGTGAATGTAATCCAGACTAATCCAGTCACACCCCATGCGTTAGTCCTGCTATCCAGGAATCTTGGCTAGTGTTGCTCATAGTTCTGGAGCGCAGGTCTTCAGTATCATTATCGGAATGCTGTCAGGGCCCATCATCTTTGTAGTATCCAGTGTCTTCAGCTTTTTCTTGATGTCAGCAAAATGGAACAAAATAAATTGGCTGAAGACTCGTATCCTTGTTGCTGGAAATTCTAGAATGAGTCTGAGATGAATCATCATCTGGGTACTTCAGGCTGAAGGTGGATGCAGATAACTTCAGCATTGTGTTTTATAGTGGGTTCCCACGCTACTGAAACAGGGGATGTTTGTGGATCAGCCTCTTGCGGTGAGTTGTTTAATTCCCCTGGCATTCATGATTGGATTTCTGAACTGCAGGGGTCAGATCTGGTCCGCTGCACGTGGAATCACTTGGTGTTATCACATGCAAGTAAGCCTGTGTTGTAACTTCACTAGCATACTATTTTACTTTCAGGTATACGTGATGTTGCTGCTGGCATGACCCTATGCACTCATCATTGAACCAGGATTGATCTCCCAGTTTGATAGTAAAGGTAGATTGTGGTTGATTTCAATTCCATTGTTGATGGCCCATTGCATTTCATGAATGCCAAGCTTTGAATTGCTCGATCTGTTCGATTTGGCATGATGATAGTGCCACACAACACAGTGGAGGTTATCCCCAATATGAATACAGGATTTCATCTCCGCGAGTACCTTGTGGCTGTCACTCCTACCAATACTGTCATGGACAGGTACATTGGTGAGGACAGAATCAAGTAGATTTTCAGTCTCGTTGGTTCCCTAAACACCTGCTGTAGACTCGGTCTCCTAGCTACGTCCTTTAGGACTCACTGGTCTGTAGTGGTGATAAGTAGCCACTGTTGGTGATGGATGTTGAAGTTCTCCACCCAGAATTTTGTATCTTAATGCTGTTTCCACTTCAACATGGAAGAGGGCTGCTTCATCAGCCAAGGTGGGCCAATAAATAATAATCAGCAGGAAGCTTCCTTACCAATGAATTCATGGAGTCCGGAGAAAGTGTTGAGGAATCCCAAGGCGTCTCCCTCCCAACTGTGTACCACCGTTAGACCCACCAGAGGTTAGGTATATCTGGCTTTTGAGAAGGACATCCATCTCAGAAATAGAGATGGTGATATCAGGACATTGTCTGTAAGGTAGCTTTCTATGTATATGATTATGTCATTCTATTGCTTCAGTAGCCTGCAGAACAAGTCTCCCAATTTTGGCACAGGGTCCCAGATTTAATAAAGGAGATTTGTAGTCACTGGTGCTGTGTGTGTCACTGTTGGCTTCAGTCCTTAGATCGGTGCTGGTGGCCCATCCAGTTTCATTCCTTTTCTTAGACTTCGTAGCAGGATTATTCAAATGAGTGGCTTGCTAGGACTTTTTTCAATGCACTTGTGGGTCATGAGATTTGACTGAGCTAGCATTTATTGCCTGTCCCTAATCACCCTGGAGAACATGGTGGTGCACTGTTTTTTCAATTATTGCAGTCCATGGGTGTAGGGACACTCTTAATATTGTTAGGAGGAGAGTTCCTGGACTTTGACCTAGTGACTCGGAGGGAATGGCAATATATTTCCAAGTCAGGATGGTGAGTGGCTTGGAGAGAAATTTGCAGGAGGTAGTATCCCCATATATCTGTAGCCCTTGTCCTTCTAGGTGGAAGTGTGGTGAGTTTGGAAAGTGCTGTCACAGGAGCCTTGGTGAATTGTTGCAATGAATCTTGTAGATGGTACAATTGAATGGTACATTGCTGCTAATGAGTGTCGGTGGTAAAGGGAGTAAATGTCGAAGATGATGGATGTGGTGCCAAACATCCGGGTAAGTAGATTATATTCCATCACACTCCTGATTTGTGCCTTGTAGCTGGTGGAAAGACTTTCGGACACATGAATTGCTGAGTTTGGGAAAGAAGGTAAGAAAAATTGGGCATGGACGTATAAAATTATGATGAACTTGTTTGCTTGGAACTGCCGAATATAGCTGTGGGAACAGGGAGAGAAAGAAAACGTCTTGATGAGGCAGAAAAAGATGATCCCTCCTTGCTGGTCAAAGCAGAGAAAGGGAGAGGTATCCATTTACAGTGGGGACGGGTCTGATCTTCAGTGCTTGAACTTGGACTCAGTGTTAACTCTGTGTCTCCTCGGATGCTGCCAGCCCTACTGCGCTTCTCCTGAACCTTCTACTATATAGATGATAAATTTGCAAGATCATTTTTAATAATTTCTTCTCTGTGTATGCTAACTTCTCAGGGAGCTGCAAAGATGATCTTGGGGACTGAGGACCACCTGGAGAAACTGAAGAGTGATGTCTGTACACCAGGTGGAACCACCATCCACGGCCTGTATGAGCTGGAGAAGGGAAACCTACGCTGCACTGTCATGAACGCGGTGGAAGCTGCAACAAACCGAGCCCGTGAACTCGGTAAAAACTAGTTTCAGCGAAGGAGGAAGCACGATGGTTGTAGGGCATGCTCCTAGAACCGTTCCAAATTTCCATGGGCTTTACAGTGTTGGCCATCAATATCTGGGGCCCAAGAGGGACTAAAGAGAGAGACTAATTCATCTTTGGGTGCGGTTTGGGGTGGATTCAAGAGACATCTGAAATCCACTGCATAAACCAACTTCTAATGTGAAATATTAGACAGAAATTGCTGAAGAAATTCAGCAGGACTGACAGCATCTGTGGAGAGAAAGCAGAGTCAGCGTTTCGGGTCCAATAACCCTTCAAGCCAATCTGGGCAAGAACAGAAGCTCCTCAGATTTGCATGTTAAACCTCACCTTTTTTTTCTGCTTCCATATGACAGGTTTACTGGGTTAAAGTAAAATAAAATATTCCTGATGCATCGTTGGGCAAACAGTATCATTACCATTCCAATCTGAATCACCAATATCTAGTCACGGAGGAGCACCAATGATCTATTTTAGAGGAGTTCCTCCAGTTAATCTTCCAAACAAATGGATGGGCTTTTCTATGTTCACCATTGCACATTTATGACATCATTCTCTACTTAACCATCTTTAGCTGCTTCGTCAACGAAGCTCGGTGGGGAGAGATGGTCACATGGTAATGTCACAGGGCCAGTAATCCAGAGCCCCAGTCCAATATTCTGGGACAGGGGTGACCATGTAACCATTGCGAATTGTTGTAAACACCCACTAGTTTGAGTGCATATTTGGGAAGGAAATCTTCTGTCTTTGCCAGTCTGGCCAACATGTGACTTCAGACCCACAACAATGGGGTTGACTGTAATTAGGAATGGATAATTAGGGATGGGCAATAAATGCTGGCTTAGCTGGCAATACCCACATCCCATAAAGGAATTAAAGTGATGGTTTTGGCTAATAATTGCATGATTCATGACTGCTCAGAAGCAGCCCATGTCCAAACTCAGAAATATCAGGAAAACTTCCAGGCTTGGGCCAGTAGGTGGTAAGCGCTGACTGTGTGACACAAGTGTCAAGCAATGACATTTCTAACAATGACTAACACCTGTTAATGTTCAACTGCATTACCATCACTGAATCATCAGCATCAACATCAAGCTGGTTATCATCAAATGGAAAGTTAACTGACTTGACCATCTACATACTGTGGCTACAAAGAGTAGATCAGAGGCTGGAAATTCTATAATGAATTGCTCCCCATCTGTATGCACAAATCTGTTCACTAGCTACATGGCACAAATCATAAGTATGATGTAATATGTCAGTGGGGAAGTGGTTTGATTTCTTTTCATCCTATCACCGGATATGGGTGACATTGGCTGGAACAGCAGTTATTGTCCATCCAGAATTGCCCTTGAGATCATGGTGATAAGCTGTCTTTGTAAGCCTCTGCAGTCCATCTGGTATTGATAGACCTACAGTATAATTAGGAAAGGGGTTTCAGGATTTTGACCCAGTGACCCTGCAGGAACAGATGTATTTCTAAATCGGAATGGTGAGAGAACCCAAAGCAGGGCCCCTGGGGAAATGAGATCGATAGAAAATATAATGGAACAAAAAAAAAGAGGATATTTAATAGGCTTAGTAAATGTCCATTGAATTTAAGTGAGGTCGATGCAATAGGTTGAGACAAATAAAGCTGGCAAAGAGAGAATATGAGAATACAATGGTAGTGACGATAAGGAAAGTAAAAAGTCATTTACCAGCTTGAAAAGAGTATGTGTTTGGGTGGAACCTATTGAGGACATACAAGGTGTATACGTTTAGAGGTGCAGAGCCCCCACATTGGAATATTTAAGAGTTGTCACTTTGTTTTACAGAACTTGAATATTGCTGAAAAGTGCGAGATTACTGAAATGTTTTTCAAGGGGACAGAACATATTGGACCTTGGGCTTTAGGTATTAAGTGTCAAAGCGAAAAGATTAGGCTGGATCTTTGTAAAGCTCTGTTGAGGCCCAGTCTCTGTATTGTGTCCAATTCCGGTCACCAAATCTTGATAATGATATGAAAGTCCTCGGGAGAATGCATAGGAGATTTGCCAGATTGATTCCATAGTTACAAGATTAAATTGAAACACTTGGGGTTATTCTGCTTGGAACAGAGAAGTTTGAGGGGAGATATGATCGAAGAGTACAAGATGATGACAGGCGCCATGTGGTTAGACAAGGAGAAACTCTCAATTAGCTAATGATACACAGACTGCACAACACAGCTTTCACATTTTGGACAGAAATGCAGGTGATATATGAAGAAAGGAAGCAGAAATAATCAATGATTTCAAAAGTTGGCTAGACAGCTAGTGCATATCAAATTGATATCAACAAAGGGTTTGAAACCCATTCCAACTGGCATGAATTCAGGACCTGTCTCCTTGTCATAAAGCTATAAGACTTAGGAGCAGAAGTCGGCCATTTGACCCATTGAGTCTGCTCTACTGCTCAGTGAGGTCATGGCTAATTTGATAATCTTCAACTCCAATTTCCTGCCTTTACCACATGATCTTGATTCCTTTCATGATTTAAAAATTGATCTGTCTCAGTCTTGGCCATACTTAATGACCCATCCTCAACAGCCCTCTGCGGTAAAGAAATTCACAGATTCAATGCCCTCGGAGACAAAATTCCTCCTCGTTTCTGTCTTAAAAGAGTGACCGCTTATGCTGATATTATGCTCCAGCCCTAGACTCTCCCACAGAGAAAGCAGCTCTTCAGCATTTGTCAAGTCCCCTAAAAATCTTGTAAGAATAAGGTTGCATCTCATTCTTTTAAACTCCAATGAGTACGGGTCCAATCTGTTCATCCTCTCTTCATAAGACAGACCCTCGATACCTGGATCAGCCAAATGAACCTTCTCTGGACTATCTCCAATGCCAGCACATCTTCAGAGACAAAAAAAAACTGCAGATGCTGGAATCAAAGGTGGACACACAGGAGGCTGGAAGAACACAGCAAGCCAGGCAGCATCTGGAGGAAAGGAGCAGTCGACGTTTTAGGTATTACCCTTCTCAGGACTGGACATCTCCCCCCACTCCAATACTGCCTGGCTTGCCATCTTCCAGCCTCCTGTTTGTCTAGCCAGCATGTCTTTGCTTAGACAGAAGTCTGAAACTTCACAGTATTCTAGATATGGTCTGACTAGTGCCTTGTATAGTTTTATACTCCATTGCCTTTGAATTAAAGCCAAAATTCCATTTGCCTTTCTAATGGGAGGGCGAGCCCAACGTGGCAATGAGAGAGGTCCCCTGTGTCAATGGCAGTCATCCTGAGCAGCGGTGAGAGTGGGAGCAGGCAGCCCAAGGCGGACGGCAGTGGGGTGAGAGTGTAAAATGGCAACTTGTAACCTTTTCACTGTTCTCGTGTGTATCTGTGACAATAATTCTAATTCAAATTCAATTACTTGTTGAATCTGGATGCTAGTTTTTGTGTTTTATGCATGAGTCCTCCCAAATCCCTCTATGCTGCATCTTTCTGTATTTAAGTAATATTCAGCTCCTTTTCTTCCTGCCAAAATGAATAGCCCTACATTACTCATCATTATATTCAAGTTTTTGCCTATTTGCTTAACCTGTCTATAGCCTTCTGCAGACTCTGTGTGTTACCTTCATCACTTGCCTTCCCATCTATTTTTCTATTGTCCACAAACTTGGCTTTAGTACATTCACTTTCCTCATCCAAACTATTAGTGTATATGCCCATGGTGGAGGCTGTAGCATTGTGAGTTGGACCCGTCTTAGGGGCAGAGGACTACGGAAGAAGAAAGATGCTGTACAAGTGAAATTAGTTTGTTTTGTTGTATTAGTAGGTCTACTGAGGGAAAATGGTGAATTCTACACTAAGGCTACTTCAAGTTTTGATATCCTCATTGATCCATGATATTGAGGCACTGGAGATGATACACAGGGAGGCAATAGGATAATTTAAAATCTACAAAGGATCTTAGTTAGGATAAATCATGAGGTTGGAGGTTATTGATGTATAGGCTGAAAGGTGATATAATTGATGCTTTTAAAATGCGAAGGGCTTGGATACAGTGTGGTTGTTTGCAATGGGAATGGTCAGTGAGATTGGACCTTGGGCCAACAGATACCGGACAGTATGGCTGGTCACGGAGTCTTCATGCTCGCAATCAAACATCTGCAATGAGTGGTGAGTTTGAGGCCCTGACAGTCCCTTCGAAGGAACTTGAAAAATTCTTGTGAACACGGCCAGTTACAGGGACATCATGGTGAATTTGAAATGTCCTGTGACTCTCCTGGAGCCTCTGGAATGGAGGAGGAATTGTGGAGAATTTAGTTGAAGTGGTCATGTTTCTGATCAGAGATAGTAGGAACTGCTGATGCTGGAGTCTGAGATAACAAGGTGTGGAGCTGGAGGAATACAGCAGGCCAGGCAGCATCAAAGGAGCAGGAAAGCTGATGTTTTGGGTCCGGACCCTTCTTCAGAAATCATCTGATCCATCTCCAGAGACAGTATTACAAGGGCTTTGGACAGTAGTCTGCATAGTGATATTACCTACCGTGTAGAATGAGTATGATTCTTTGCCAATTCTTTTGTATGTTTACATGTGTGGATTATATATCCGGGCCCTGCTTGTTGTGTTGGCTCAGAAACTTCACCCAATCAGTGGCTGAGCCCAGTGTCAGTTCCCATATTAAATTCCCCCATTGTGAACTCATCTCTTCATCTTCTGTCCCTTGTTTTGATCCAAGAATAAAGCAGAGTAAACATGCAGCTGGTTCACTTTCCTTCCATGTTTATTTCTGGATCTTAAATGTTTCACGTTTAAGCCATTGAAATAACATGACCCTGAAAAGATAAGAACATCTGGAAGATAATGGACAGGAAAAAACATTCTGGTTTATTCAGCCTGTTCCATTGAACTGCACTGTCCTGTATTAACATCATATGCAGTACAGACATCCCCAGTTCGACTGGCCTTGGGTGCCAAGGTAAATCAAGGCAAGAGCAAGGTCATTTTCTTTGGAAATTGGACCAACTGATCCCTTATCCCTTTCACCATCAGGACAGATTACCTGGACATGTGCCAAAACTTGGGAGGAACGTGTTGCCAAGCTGAGACAGAAACTGGGCAGAGATAATAGGAACTGCAGATGCTGGAGAATCTGAGATAACGAGGTGTAGAGCTGGATGA